GACAGATTCTGATCTCACAGATTCTGATCTCACAGATTCTGATCCCTGACAGATTCTGATCTCACAGATTCCACAAGGTCTTTGATTAAAAACAGCATGAACGAACTGAAATCAATCTTTGTTTACCTGTTAGCAAAATATCTCATAAACCACTGGATGGATTTTGAAGACACTTTCTAGAAATAATAAATGGATGTTTTTCTACAGTTCACTGACTTTTGGAGACATCTAGTTCAGTGAGTGTGGTAGTAGGTGAGAGTCATTCCCGACACATACACTGAGCACATCTCATGACATGGAACTGTTCATAACGTCTCCCTGCACCCCTTCGTGGCACACTTGAAAGTCTTTTTGTTACTTTCCCATTTGAGATCCTCGATCTCCCAAAAATAAAAAAACAACATGTTGACTCAAATAACGATAGGATCCCAGATCCCTCCACAATGATAGATCTTCTCACCTCCACATCTCCACTCTGGTCAGACACCCGTCACCCCTCGAACCAGCAGCCTCACTAAAACTAGACAATTCCAGCCTGAGGACTTTCAGTCTCCCCTGTGCACGGTCCAGATCCAAACCTGGAGGTTCGTGGTTAGATGTCGGGGCCAGACTCGAAGGACCAAAATTTTGGATAAAAATATCCTCTATTCATCTTACTGACTCAAAGAAGCCACACTCGAGGCCACAACAAGATTTTTAACCAGTTTTACTTGCAAGGGCAGACTTTCACCACAGGTTACATAGATGTACAGAAGTTACACGCATGGAGTCACGAGAATCTGCCACGGGCAGCGTGTGAGGCTTGTTTTTATCAACTTATCAGCTCTCAGCTCACATGCAGACACTGATGACCTCAACCACCCAGCTGCACATGCAGGATCAAATCAGCTCCTCATTCAGCTCTCTCCGAGAGACAAAAGAACCCTCTGATAACTCCAACACACGGTTCATGGGCAGTTAATCTCATCCACAGTAGTTAAAAACATCCGTGAACAAAAATCACCTGACAAACATGTTTGTCAAGACTTGACTAAAACATCTATAACTCTGTCCTTTCTCAACATGAGATTATTCTAATCTGAAACATTTATACTCTGTTCTTTCTCAACATGAGATTATTCTAATCTGAAACATCTATACTCTGTTCTTTCTCAACATGAGATTATTCTAATCTGAAACATCTTTACTCTGTTCTTTCTCAACATGAGATTATTCTAATCTGAAACATCTATACTCTGACCTTTCTCAACATAAGATTATTCTAATCTGAAACATCTATACTCTGTTCTTTCTCAACATGAGATGTACAGAAGTTACACGCATGGAGTCACGAGAATCTGCCACGGG